TTAATCCAGGATAGCATAAATGGTGCTAGCTCACTGTCATTTCTTAGGATTGAGTAGTATTCCATTGTGAGCATATACCACATTTTAATGATCCACTCATGAATTGATGGGCACCTGGGCTGTTTCCATGATCATGCAATAGTGAATTGTGCTGCTACAAACATTCATGTGCAGATGTCTTTATAATAGAATGTCTTATGCCTAAGATGCTATTGCAGGGTCAAATGGTATTTCTATTTCTAGCTGTTTGAGGTATCTCCAAATTCTTTTCCACAAAGTTTGCACTAATTTGCAGTCCCACCAGCAGTGTAGAAGTGTTCCTGTCTCTCCGCATCCTCGCCAGCATTTGTTGTTTTGGGATTTCTTGATATAGACCATTCTTACTGGGGTTAGGTGGTATCTCATTGTGGTTTTGATTTGCATTTCTCTAATAATTAGAGAGGTTTAGCATTTCTTTATATGTTTGCATGCCAATATTCTGTCTTCTTTGGAGAAGTTTCTTTTCATTTCCGTCGCCCATTTCTTGATGGGATTGTTTTTTTTTTTTTTTTTTTTTTTTTTTTGAGACAGAGTCTCGCTTTGTTGCCCAGGCTAGAGTGAGTGCCGTGGCGTCAGCCTAGCTCACAGCAACCTCAAATTCCTGGGCTCCAGTGATCCTTCTGCCTCAGCCTCCCGAGTAGCTGGGACTACAGGCATGCGCCACCATGCCCGGCTAATTTTTTATATGTATATCAGTTGGCCAATTAATTTCTTTCTATTTATAGTAGAGACGGGGTCTCGCTCTTGCTCAGGCTGGTTTTGAACTCCTGACCTTGAGCAATCCGCCCGCCTCGGCCTCCCAAGAGCTAGGATTACAGGCGTGAGCCACAGCGCCCGGCCTTGATTTTTTCTTGTTAATTTTTTTAAGCTCTAGATAAATTCTTGTTATTAGGCCTTTATCAGAGGTGTAGAGAGTAAATATTTTCTCCCACTCTGTGGGTTGTCTATTTGCTCTATTGATGGTTTCCTTGGCTGTGCAGAAACTTTTTAATTTGATCAGATCCCATTTGTTTATTTTTGATGCTGCGGTGATTGCCTTGGGGGTCTTCCTCAAAAATTCTTTGCCTACGCCAATATCTGATAAGGCTTTCCCAATGACTTTCGTTCTTTTAAAAACAACTTTTATTAAATATTGCAGAGATAAAAAAGGGTATTATGAAATATGTTTAGACTCTAAAGAATGGCAACACAATAAATTCCTGGGAATTCATGACCCAGAGAAAGAATTGTACATTCTTGTTACTTTTGAAGTCCACTGTCTTCCTTCCACATTCAGAGTAATCACAACTGTGAAATTTGTGTTTATTATTCTCTTGTTTTTTTATACATATGTTTGTGACCATAAACAATATAGTATTTATATGTTTTTGACTTTAATATAAATAGAATCATATTATAAGCATTCTTGGATGACTTTTTTCATTCAACATGTTTCTAAGATTCATCCACTGTGTTGCATGTAGCTGTAATTCATGGTGACAAATAATTCTATTATATGAAATATCATAATTGAGTTATCCATTCCTCTATTGATAATAGCCATTTGGGTTGGTTCCAGTTTTCCTCTCCAGGAACAGTGGTGCTTTGAACATTCTCATACATGTTACTTGGTGCCCATGTGTAGGAGTTTATCTACGAGTGGTTGATAGGTCCTAGGTTATATACATCTTCAGCCTAACTAGATAATGCCAAAGGGATTTTTACCAATTTACTCTCCCACCAGCAGACACAGGTGTTTCTGTTATTCCACATCCTTGCCAACACTTGACAATGTGAGTTTTAAATTTTTGCAAATCTGGCAGGAGTGAAGTCATATCTTAGTATGGTTTTAGTTTGCCTTTTCCTTATTCCTAGTGGGTTGGTATCTTTTCTTATGTTTGTTGAACATTCATATTTTCCTCTTCTATGAAATACTTGTTCATGTCTTTGACAACTTTTCCACTGGACTGTTTTTTTTATTAATTTGCAATAGTTCTTTATTTAGCCTAGATAGAAGCATTTTGTTATGTTGTCAATTCTCCACCCTGTGCCTTGTCTTTTCACTCTCTTAATGGTGTCTCTTGGTTCCTCATTTCAATGTAGTCAAATTTATCGATGCTTTACTTTATGGTTAGCTGTGTGTGTATGTGTGTGTGTATGCATATTTGCTTAAAAAATTCTTTTCTATCCTAAGTTCATGAAGATAATCTTCTAGATTGTTGCCTAAACATTTTATGGTTTTGCCTTTTATATTTAAGTTTTAATCCATATAGAATTGATTTTGAAGTGTATAGTAGGATTTCTCACCCTTGTAGTAAGGAGAACTAATTGTCCCAGCGTAATCTATTAGAAGTGCAGCTTTCCCTAACTGCTCAGTAATGACAGCTCTGTCATAAGTCACATTCCTAACACACAGGGCAGCTTCTGGGTTCTCTATTCTGTTTTAGTGGTATATTTATCTATTTCACTGCAAATGCCACAATATATCAGTTAATGTAGCTTAATAACTATTGTTATCTGGTAAAGCAGCTTCTCTCAGTTCTTCAGGCATATCTTAGCCTTTATGGGCTATATTCTTTTTCATGGATATTTTAGAATCAGCTTGTCAAGAGTCATAAGACTCTCTGTGGGGCATTTGATTGAAATTGATTTGAATCTATAAATTGAATGAGGGAGAATTGGCATCTTTATAATAACAATTCTTTTTATACATTAACATGATGTTTCTCTTAATTTATTTAGATATTTCTAATATCCATTAATATAGTTTTACAATATTTTTCTCATGAAGATCTTTTGGTACATTTATTCCTAGGTTCTTCACATTTTTAAATGCCATGATAAGTGATATCGTTTTTTAAAAGTATACTTTCTAACTCTTTGCTATTTAGTTTAGAAAGGTAATAATTTTATATTCATTTCCTTTGTTAAGCTCTATTATTAATATAAATAGCTATCAGTGTTTTGGGGGAGAGGTTTCTATATAGGTATTATATCATATGCAAATAAGGTTTTATTTCTTCCTTTCTAATCCTTATTCTTTTTATTTCTTTTTCTTGTCTTACTTTACAGGCCTGGATCTCCCGTTGTGTCTTACTATGTGCCCTCTTCTTTTTTGAAATTTTTTTCCCCTGGAGACAGAGTCTCAGTCTGTTGCACTGGCTAGAGTGAAGTGGCATCATCATAACTCAATGCAGCCTGAAACTCCTGGGCTCAAGTGATCCTCTTTCTTCAGCCTCCCGAGTAGCTGGGGCTATAGGCGTGCACCACCATATCCAGCTAATTTTTCTATTATTATTATTATTATTGTAGAGACAGGGTCTCACTTTTGCTCAGGTTGGTCTTGAACTCTTGAACTCTAATGATCCTCCCACCTCAGCCTTCCAGAGTGTTAGGATTATGGGTGTGAGCCACCCATCCGCGGGCTTTCTAACATCTGCTTCATATTTTCCATCTCTTTGTCCATCTGTTCTACATTCTGGCTAATTTGTTTAGCATTATAGTGCATTTCATGAATTCTCTTTTCAGCAGTTCTGATCAGATAGTAAACTAAGGTATTGAATTTTAAATTAAATTATTATATTTTTCATTTCTAAGGGTTCTATTTATTTTTTAATATGCTTTTAAAAGTTTTTTACTCCTTAGTCATATATTCAATCCCCTTTTATTTCTTTTTTTTTTGCTATGTGCCAACTCATCTGTATATTATATTATATTATATTATATTATTTATTTCAGGATATTATGGGGTACAAACATTTTGGTTACATGTTACAACTTGCCCCACCCAAACCATGACCCCCTTTATTTCTTAAACATAGTAAACATACTTACTTGTGTGTCTATTCTAACATCTGAAGTTTATAGTTAGTTATGTTGTCTATCGTTGCTGCTGGCCCTTATTCATGAAGCCTTATGTCCTTCTGTGCTTTGGGGTTTGCTGTGGTCTAAATGTGTGTGTCCCCTCAAAATTCATATGTTGAAAACTTAATCACCAATGTGAAGGTATCAGGTAGGACTTTAGGGGGGTGATTAGATCATGAGGGTGGAGCCCTTATAAAAGAGACCCCAGGCTGGGCGCGGTGTCTCACACTGGTAATCCCAGCACTTTGGGATGCCGAGGCAAAAGGATCACTGGAGGCCAGGAGTTTAAGACCAGCCTGGGCAACATAGCAAGACCCCATTTCTACAAAAAAATATTTTAAAAAATTAGCTGGGGGTAGTAGTGTGTACCTGTGTTCCCATCTACTTGGGAGACTGAGACATGAGGATGGCTTGAGCACAGGAGTTCAAGATTACAGTGAGCTGTGATCATGCCACTGTACTCCAGCCTGGGTGACAGAGTGAGACTCTGTCTCTAAAGAAAGGAGATCCCAGAGAGTTGCCTTGCTGCCTCCTACCACGTGAGGATGCAGAAAGAAGGTGCTGTCTATGAGGGACAGGCCCTCACCAGACACTGAATCTGCTGGCACCTTAATCTTAAACTTCCCAGACTCCAGAACTGTAAAAAATAAATTTCTCTTGTCTTTAAACTACCCAGTTTATTGTCTTTCGTTATAGCAGCCTGAACAGATCAGACAGAGGTTGTTATCAAAATTATAGGAAATGCAGTCAGACTTGTCCCTTATGCTTTTTAAGGCCAGAAAGTGAAGTTCGAGGACTCTGGGGTTTGGCAAATACCCTCAGAGTGAAAGTCAGCTTTGGTTCTCTGCTTTCCTGCATTCCCATTCTCTCTTAATTTTCGGAATTTGAGGATTCTTTATTGTCTTGATGAGCCCATGAATACATTAAAAAAAGATGTTTTCAATATTCCTGTGGAATTTTAAATTTAAACATTCTTGGAAGTGGCAACTTGGGTTGGTGACCCTTACTTTGGTCAGTCTGAAGGAGACAAGAATTTCTTCCTTCCGGCCCTGATTTTTTTTTCTTTACAAGCTTGGAAAGTCTCAGCTCAACATCTATAACCCCATTTATGAAGGCACTTTTTTTTTTTTTTTTTTAAAGCCACTCTCTATATTTATTCATTATAGAATATGCTTTTTTTTCCAGAAAGAAAACACACAGTCTGAAGTATCCCATTTTAATAAATCCTATCCTCTGCCTTTACATCCTGAATTTCTATGTTCATTCATCAAGGTTCAGTACCATTACACACAGTGATTAAAATTTTTCCCTGAGATTATCAAGGCTATGTCTTTGGCTATAGGATATCATACCCTACCAAAATTCGGGAGAAAACATAGGAAACTGGAAGTTCTTTTGGTGGTGGAAAAGTCAGACAAATTGGGTAGAATTCCTGAGAAAATGGTGCAGAATCAACCAAGCCACTAAAATAAATTTTACCTACCTGTGAACTATTATCCCTTCTATATCTCCAAACATTCTAGAAGGGAAATTCATCTTATTGCATAGAAGGACACTTTATCACAATGCTATGCACAAAGCATCTTTGCTTTTGCTAGCTGCCAGAGCCATCCCGATGCCTCAGTTTCTAGTAAAATGCAGAGCCAAAAGAGATATGAGCAGCCTTTCCCCAGTGGGATATGGAAAAGAGAAAAAAACAGACATAGGCAATGAGGGAAAAAAATGGTTACCACATTACGTGCTCACTCAGGCCTGTGATGCTTCTGCAAATAGTTTGAGATATAGCTACTGATCCACGAGTAGGGAAGAGAAAAGATGGACTAGATCACCACCTCAAACCCCAGCCTCATCGACTCAACAAAGCGTCAGACAAATGGTCACTGGCACATGTCTTCCAGTTTGGGTACACTTAAAGCCAACCCTGAATGGAATGCCCCTTCCAGCAGCCCCTCCTGGGCTGGAAGAAATCACATTCTGAGAAGGAGCCAGCTTGGCGGGAACGGTCACTCTTACGTTTTGTTGTCCGGCCCTCCACCCACCCATCCCCCTAAAATGGCACAATGGAATGATTGTGTTCCCTTAGTGAAGACTTCCCTTCTTAAAAATAAACAAGTGGAGGTTTCCCTAGTCTGCCCTGTATTCAATAGTGGAAGAGGCAGCCAGCCCCAGGGTGGGGAGAGTGAGAAAGGAAGCAGGCGAGGGAGCCCAGCGTCAGGGAACGACGTGCTAGAACGTGCAGGCCTCTGAAGACGGAAAGAGAGTAAGGCTGGGCATCGGTGGGTGGTGGCACTTCCAGAGACATCGCCCCGTGGATGCAATGTTCCCAATTCCTCGTCTTAGGTTTTCTTGGGGTAGTTCCGACAGGCTTTTGCCATGTCTCTCAGGAAGTTAGGAACTCCACTCTGGGCAACCATGTTAATGAGCCAGGACGGAATCTGGCCACCTGGGTTATCGAAGTAATACATGAAAACTTTGCTCCCCTTCTTGCCATCACTCTCGATCGCCAGGCTCTGCTTGTACTGCTTCACCCGGACCACCCCCTGCCTCTCCGGAAGCTGAGGCACTGAGGTGCTCTGGGCCAGGACCACGCAGATCTTCCGCCCGGCCATGTCCAGCTCTCGCAGCTGCCATGTGTAGACATAATCTCTGTTGGACATGGGAAAAGGGTACTTCACTTCCCAGTAGACCACTGTCTGTCCATTGCACTCACGTTCATAGAGTTCTTGAACATACTCGTCCCACCGCTTTCTATAGTCTAAGTCCATATAGACATCTGCGAGTAGAGCTGGTGAGCAGTCCTCCAGAACACCGAAGACTTTATATGCATACAGTCCAGTCTTCTGGTCCAGCAGCCGGTAGATGCTGATGCCCAGGGTCTCCACCAGCAGCTGCCAGTCGGCCCCGGCCAGCGCGGGCTGCTGGAGCTCTGCGCAGGCCTCCCGGAACTGCTCCTCCGAGAAGCCGCCCGCCGCCGGCTCCATACTCCGCAGCCCGGGATCCTGTGAAGGCACTTTTGCTCACCTCTGAATTATGAACTCTTTTCAGTGACTTTTATTTTTATTTTTACTATTTTCAAGACAGGGTTTCCTCTGTTGCCTGGGCTAGAGTACAGTGACATCATCATAGCTCACTGCAACCTCAAACTCCTGGGTTCAACTGATCCTCTTCAGCCTTGCAAGTAGCTGGGAATACAAGTGGGTGCCATCACCCCTGGCTACGTTTTTAATTTTTATTTTTCCTAGAGATGGAGTCGCTCTATGTTTGCCACACTGGTCTTGAACTCCTGGCCTCAAGTGATCCTTCCTCCTTGGTCTCTGAAAGTGCTGGGATTACAAGTGTGAGCCACTATCTCAACCTTGATGCCTTTCAAATGTTTTGTTTTGTTATATTTCATATTATGCCTCAGTGAAACTGACCTTACTTTGGACTATCACAGAATATATAATTGGCTACTGTTTGGGCTATTTTAAAAACAAATATACTATCCTAAATGAAACTTCCCAGTGAAACTTATTTATGAATATAAATCAGTGTTGCAGAATGGTGGCATATGAAACACATTTTTGGGAAGACTTATGCTATATTCTGGAATATATAATACATAAAATATATACTATATGAAGTATATAATAATATACTAGTATAGTATATAGTATATATATACTATATGAAGTATATAATATAGTATATTCTATACTATATATCATGCTAGTATATAGTATAGTATGATGTAGTATAGTATGCAATATAATCTAGTATATAATATATACTATATTTCTCTTTTTTATATACTATATTTCTAATATGGAGAACAGTATCCTCCATCACAATGTAGGTTACCCCTTTCTGCTTATCATCTTGCTTAGGAAGGATACGCTAGTCTGGGAAGAAAAGAGGTATATATTATTATATACTTCATATAGTATATATTTTATGTATTATATATTCTGAAGCCTACCTGCCATCATGCTTGGACTGGGCAGGAGCTGAGAAGAGTAAGAGGGATTGAGGGCTTTCAAATGTCTTGAAAGATCTTGGGAATAATAAAGTGGTGTGGGAAGATGGAGCTCAGCTCTCAGGTCTGTTGGTGGGAGATGATGCTGACAAATGGTTACTCTACCCTTGGATTTGGTGAGTGGGAATACAGTTCAGATCTCAGTAGACATTTCAGAAACTCCCCCCCCCCCTTTTTTTTTTCAAATTTAAAAGCCCAAACTACATGAAGCCTTTGGGGAAATTTTCTGCCTCTGGTACTAATCAAGGGCATTCTAAATGGTGAGTTTGATGCAAAGCAATTTGTTTATCATTGTTATTATCTCTATAAATTGCTGATATTTCTTCTATAGTTGAAGTTCCTGTTACTTTTGAATGTTTATTATTGAGCTTGCTTCAGGTTGTATGTGTGAATGCATGTCTTAGGGATGTATCTGTGCAGTACTTAGGGATGGTATCTGTTCTGTCCTCCGTATTTCTTTCTCTTCTAATCTTGATTACAACCTGGAAGACAGATCATCTGGAACCAGTTTCCATCAACCTCTTTCTGGTTCATTCATTCAAAAATATTTGAGTGCCCTCTATGAGCCCAGAAATGTGCTATGTTTTCATTCAAGTTTGTGCAGGTCAGTAAGTGTTTATCGCACATGCTATATTTTCTAGATACTTCCTCAATGAATAATGCACACTCCCTGGTCCAAGAAAATTATAGTTTAGTTAGAAATAAAAATTTAAATATTAGGACAAATCATTTGGCGGTTTTGCATGGACACAAAATATGGCTACAGCTGCTTTGACTTGCTGCTTGTGAAAAACCACATTTTTTTTTTTGAGACAAAATCTTACTCTGTTGCTCTGAGTGTGGTGGCATCAGCCTAGCTCACAGCAACCTTTAGTGGTTCACCTGCCCAAGTAGCTGGGACTACAGGCACATGCTACCATGCCTGGCTAATTTTTCTATTTTCAGTAGAGACGTGGTCTCGCTTTTGCTTAGGCTGGTCTCAAACTCCTGAACTCAAGTGATCCTCCCGCCTTGGCCTACCAGAGTGCTAGGATTACAGGTGTGAGCCACCACACCCAGCGGGAAAGTGTTGCTTTTTAAATTCATTCATCTATTTTACTTCTGTCTGAAACAGACTAGGGTCTAATGTCACCTTCTCCTTTAGCATTTAATAAATAAGTATGATTTTCAATATACACAAATGACTGATGCCAAAAACAAAGGAACTTTGTCTTGTATCTTCACAGTGGAGGATGTTGAAGATGGTCATATTTCCTGAGACACTATCGTGTTTCCCTGAAAATAAGACAGGGCCTTATATTTATTTTTCCTCAAGAAGACACCCTAGGGCTTATTTTCAGGGCATGTGTTATTTTTTTTAAGTACGGTACAACAATCTACATTTATTCAAATATAGAATATCATCATAACTCTCCAAACCCTGAATTCCATCCTGAATTTCTTATGACTCTATTTCCTTTGGAACCATTGGCCCCAATCTCTCATGTTGAGCATCTCTCATCAGGCAGATGAGAAGGGCTGCTTATCTTCTTTACCACTCTGATGAAATGCATGGTTTGTGCAGATACGCTGCGTAGCCATGCCCATCACTAGGTCTTGTTTTTGGGGTAGGGCTTATATTGTGCAAATGCTTAGAAATCCTGCTAGGGCTTATTTTATGGGTAGGTCTTATTTTCGGGGAAACACGGTATAAGGGTTTGACTGGACACAGAAGAATTAGGCCTGGGTCCCAGCTGGACAGCCGAGGGTTAGTGTGAATATACATACCAATAACACCCATATAAAATAACTGTGGGGAAACTAATCTATGGAGCATTTTTTTTTAAAGGAATGCAATTTTCTTACTTTCAAAGATACCTAATAATGTGAATGTAGTTAAGATAATACTGCCTGCTAGAGAATCTAAGGAAATCTGCTGGAGTGACTAAACTAGATAGGACTATGATTAGTTCATCACTTTTTTTTGTATAAAAAATGATACTTCCATTCATCACTTTTTGTACAAAAGATGATGCTTCCAGATATTAATAATAATATTATAATAATAGCTTGCACCACTCACTGAATGTTTATTATTTTCCAGGAAATTTTCTAGATGTATTGTTAACTTTAACCCTTGTAACAATCTGCTAAGGAGTGTATACTATTATATCTCCATTTTACAGATGTGAAAACTGAGGCACAGTGAGGTTAAGTATTAATAATTTGTCCAGTGTTATGATAGTGGTGGGGCAAGATTCAAACTCAGGTGGACTGGCTCCCGAGACTGTGCTCTTAAGCTTTAATGCCTCGAGTTTGCCTTTTAATTGCAACAGTATGAACATTCAAGCTTTTCATCTTGTTTTCCATAATATTTTTACTTCATTAATTCACTGAGCAAATCTTTTTTTTTTAATAGATTGTGAAAGTGCCACCCACGACACTATCCAACTTATTAAAAGTTAAGGTTAGCAGAGTCCAAACTTATAAATTGCAGGATAGGATTTTTTTTATTGATGGTGGTTCATGTTCTGCAATAGTTACATTTATGTATATCTATAAAAATATTACTAAAAAAGCAAGAAAAGAAAAAACCTCATGCATACATAAAAGTCTACAGGGACAGATTGGATAATTCACGGTGTTGTCTAATCCTCTTAGAGAATGGATTATTTTCTTCGTCTTTGAATGTTCATACTGCTATTTGGAGTAGTGTATGCTCATTAACCCCTTCCATTAGATTGTGGTCAACAATTATGCTTCTACTGTGCTTCTGTTTTCTCTCTCGGGAAGAGGGAGATGATGTATTCAGTATAAAGCTGGACTTCACTGTATTAGTAAGTAGCCCGACTGCTGTGCACATCAGGGTAACTTTCATGATACATAGAGGTAACACAATGGAAATCACAGTTTAGAAATCCAATTTATCTTGCTGTGAATAGAATTGCCTCCAATACTGACGACAATTAGTTTTGTTCCATAACACTGTTATAGAAATGTGACATTGAAAAACTACTTGCAAACTACTAAAGCATTCATCTACCATGAGTTCATGTCATGGAGGGAAAAATGTTAATTCTACTTGTGTGAAAAAACATAAAAGGGTTTTTTACAAAGAGCAGCCGCAAGGTCAGGATATGACTGCTGAGGTAATGAAGTGAATGAAGGCTTCCCTGAAACTTTTAGTTGCTTATACATTCTATTAAAGCTGCAAAATTCTGCTGATTCTTGTTTCTCAAAACCACTGGGGTTGCAGCTAAGTCACATTACAGATTAAGTGGAGAGTGATGCCAGCCTTTAATGTCTCCTCTGGAACTGCAGCAGAACCTGCCACTGATGCTCTTGGCCAGCCTTGGCCATCCTCTTTGGCTCCAGCATCCTCCTCCTCCCGACATCACTGGTCAAGTCAGTTCACTACTTACACCACTATATGGCAAAGCCCTGCGATGCATCTTCACAGGCACTGTGACAATAAAATGGCCCTTGCTATAGAGAACTCTAGAAGTTCAAAATACTGAAATGTGGATGTTTTCCCATCCATCCGTTGGCAATTGCACATCATAAGAAAATGTCTGTAGTTTAATAAGATTGGACTTAGACAATTTGCAACTCAACTGTACCTGTATTTATTGTTCACATACAAGGTACAAGATACTGTTTAGGGAGAGTGTGATGTGGTGGAAAGGGCATCCGATCTGGAGTAGGACAGACTGGGGTGGGAATTCAAGCCCCATCATTTACCCGCTGTCTGGGCTTGTGCAAGTGCTTAATAACAGCCACCTTGCTTCTATGGCTATTGTGAAAATTATACACTATGGATATAGAGTGCCTGGAACTTAACAAGCGTTAGCTAAATCATAGCTATTATTTTTAGGCTATGTGGTGGTAAATAAAGATGAGACCTGGTTTCTACCTTTAGGGAGCTTCTTCTAGAAGGAGAGAGAAAACATGTACATAAATATGTGTGCTTCAGGGCAGAAAGGATAAGGGCCACAAGGAGC